AAATATTATTTATCTTCAGTTGTTGGGATGTGCATGACAGAATATAAAAATCTCGGTCCAGCTGCCCCTGTCATCACAGTTTACATGTTTGTTTCCTATGCAAAAGCGTGTGTGCCACGCGGTGATGGAAGGGAGTCCTATAAGGAAACACATGACAGGTGTTATAACTGTCTCAGTACCAGGTCCTTCTCGTTATTTCAGTTGTTCTTTGTTGTTGTGTAGTTCTCCTGATGGAAGTCAGTAGTCTGACCTCATTAACTGTTGTCCCTGGCTATTTTAGCGTTTTGCTGCTGTAATCATGAGAATAAGAGAGCCCCGGACCACTGCACTGATATTCAGTTCTGGGAAGATGGTGTGCACAGGAGCCAAGAGGTGGGTTTAAAGGAGTTCATTGTCCTGGTCTGCGTGTTACGGAGAGAAGGTTGTGTCATGGTATCTAGATGTTAGGCTACTACTTTAATACAGTGTTGTTGCTTTCTTATTAAAGTAGTTGATTCTCTTCACCTTAGATGGTGGTAGCTTCATTTTCTTAAAAATAGGCATTAGTTTAGGATGTGTGTTCCGATCTTATTTCTGTACAGTTCAGCATGCGTGCGTGCCAGATTTTTGTCATTTGTGACCCTGCACTTGAGAGCCTTTTGTCAACAGTGATGTTACTGCTTTCATTCTGCTTTTGTTACATAAGCCCTGCACTGCTAAGTCATATTTTATCCAACAAATAAGTTCTAGGAATGGATGAAGAAAGACATGACATAAAAGAGGAATTAGTGTATGCATTCTTTGAGTATAAATCTCATCAGTATTTTCCTATCAAAATGACACTTGTTGGTTTTTATCTCAGTAGAAATTTGTGGGCTTAAATACAGCAATATTAGTGATAATGGTGATGCTGATATTATACTTCATATCCATGAAATCTGGGGCTATCAATAATTTGGTGAATTGAAAGGTATTCATTTTGGTAGGCCTACAGTTTTCTGTCAAGGACGTGGGAAAGTTACTCATCTAAATAATTGTGTTAGCTGTCTTTGAGTATGAATAGCTCACTTTTTCTTTCCTAGTGAAGAACAGTCTAGACTAGCAGCAAGAAAATATGCCAGAGTTGTACAGAAATTGGGTTTTCCAGCTAAGTTCTTGGACTTCAAGATTCAGAACATGGTGGGGAGCTGTGATGTGAAGTTCCCTATAAGGTTAGAAGGCCTTGTGCTTACCCACCAACAGTTCAGTAGGTAAGTCTGAAATACATGGTGGTTGCTTTTGGCAACAATTTAAATTTATCATCTATTTAAACATTGTTCATGATAAAACTTAAGCAAAATAATTAGTATGTAAGAACAAATGATATACTGATAGGTGTGTTTATTGTTGAAGTGTCTTCCTGATTTCTTTGGTAATAGCTACTATTCTCACCAGCCTCCTACTTCTCTATTTTTTAACTCAGTGACACCCAAAACTCCCCTTTACTGGCATGAAATTGATTCCCTTCTGTATGTTTCATCATTTTATTGCTCAATAAATACATTTTAAATGAATAAATAAAACCCACAACCTCTTGTATCAATTTTTCCCCCAGTTGTTTCAGTCTTTTGTTCTATGTCCTGAAGAAGACTTCAAAGGCAGGTGGTCCCTGACCACCTCTCCAGCCTCTCTGCTCACAGTAGCACCACGGCTTATCACACCCCTCTTACACCAGGGTCGTTGCACATCCCACTTTTATCCCTGGCACACTCTTCTGTCACTTTTTACCTAAGAAACTCCCACTGGCATTTCATGTATCCATCCCAGCATCTCCCTTCCTCAGAGAAGCCTGCCTTGAATTTTCCAGTAAGTTGAACACAGTCATACATCATGTTTTCAGTGTAACAAAATGAGATTACTAGGATTAGAACAAAACTATACCAATAGTGCATTTAGTCAGATAACACGGGGCAAGGTTCAGTCTCCAACCATCTTTTCTGTCACTTTGGTTAAATTGCCTGAGCAAACGTAGCAGCTAGAAGGTATTTCACTTTAAGGAGATGAGATGTGAATGATTAGAGAAGAAACTGTGTGACTGGCAGATCTTATAGATGGATAATTACTGGGCTCTTTTAAGTTGATATAAACTTGTCCAGAATGAAACTTGATAAAGATCAGAAACTACAGAATATAAAACTCTTGTTCTTATGTCAGGAAATCCAGATTCATTCAAAACAGGATTAGTTGGTCTTTACGTGCTAGTGACAGGTCAGCCTCACTGGCCAAATACTGCTTGCAGAATTGGGCTTCACTCTGTCATTAGTTTGTGGCTAATCCGGTGCTTTCCCTTGTTCAGGTCCTCATATTTTCTAAAGGCATGAGCAGCTGTCAATTTAAATTGTTTTTACTATTTTCCTTCTAGTTATGAGCCAGAGTTATTTCCTGGTTTAATCTACAGGATGATCAAACCGAGAATTGTTCTCCTTATTTTTGTTTCTGGAAAAGTTGTATTAACAGGTAAGTTGTAACAGAAAGTAGTGGTTGCAGTTTTGAAAGTGTCGAGAATGGTATTTTCTCAGTACTTAGAAGTAATATCACAGTGTTGGGACATTTAACTAGTGACTTGCAGAGAAGCCTTTCCCCTTTTCTCTTCCCAACACTGATGGGAAACGTCCACCAGAGGCGGGGAGCTGAGGAGTCAGGTCACAGCCTTGCTGATCCTTCAGTTGAAGCATCACCTTGGTGGGGAGGGGTGGAGGTGAGCATTAGATTGCATAACAGATGGTGGTTTAAGTTGGGTACCATTGTCTAAAACTTTGGTTTTCCTCAGCATTATCATTTTGCCTCAACAAAGGAAGTTTCTAAAGAGCTTGTTTGAAAGCGGCAATTGAGAGAATAAGACTCCCGTCACGCTCAACTGCTGCCTTGCTGGGCTCTGACCTGGTGCAGAGACCAACAGCTGTCACATGGGCAGACTGTAGGCATGGAAGGTGGAGTCATCTGTATTGTTGCTTTGGTAATTTTTTAAAGCCAAATGAAGAAAGTACCTCTTTAAAAACAAAAATAGGATTGTGACAAGGGATTCCATTGTTAATGTTTTAATGCCTGGATGTGGAGAGAATTGTGCTTTTGTGGTTTTGTTAAGAAATTCCATTTCAGACTCTTTTCTACTTGTCTTCGTAGGTGCTAAAGTCAGAGCAGAAATTTATGAAGCCTTTGAGAACATCTACCCTATTCTGAAGGGTTTCAGGAAGACAACGTAATCGCTGCTGTGTACTCCTGCCTCCCCCACCCACTTGTTTTTTTTTAAACCAGTCAGTTTTGGTACACTCAGTGGTGTGGTGATGGCCCATGTGGTAGCGGATGGACGTCTGGTTGTAGGGTGCAGCACCAGGTGAGGCGCTCCTCCACGTGTACCCCCATGGGGTGCCAGAAGGGGTGTCGTTTCTGCACAGAGAACACCGGAGCGTCACTCTAAGTGGCTCAGACTGTGCTGCTATAAGGGCAGTGCTGCCTGTTATTTATATTTAGATTTTAAACACTTACTGCTGTTGACAAGTTGGTTTAAGGGACAAAACTAAGTGTTAAAGCCACCTCAACAATTGATTGGACTTTATTTTGTTTAATTTCTTCCCCATAAACCACAGTTTTATATTTCTACCAGAAAAGTAAAACTCTTTTTTAAAAGTGTTGTTTTCTAATTTGTAACTCCTGAGGGTTATTTTTGTGCCAGACACATTCCGCCTTTTCAGTATTGCAGGACAGAATAGAAATGTATTAATGAAAACAAATGGCTGTACATATTTTTCTTCCTTCAGAGTACTCTGTACAATAAATGCTGTTTATAAAAGTGTTAGATTGATGTTGTAAATGAAACTTTCTAAAATTCATGTGATCATACTGTTAAAAAAATTGTATTTTAGATACAATGCCTGAAACCATTTCAGTGTGTTTGCTTGCTTGCTTCAGTCAACATTTCATTGTTGCAGTGAAAATGGCAGAACTGTGAAAATTTACAGTTGCTCACAAAATGTGTTTATTACATCCTATATATTGAGCACCCTCTATTTCCCACATACCTTAATTCTCACAAACCTATAATCAGGTTTTGTTGCTCTTATATAAAGCAGGCAAGCTAGGTCCCACCTGGGGATCTGCCCCAGGTTACAGAGCAGGTAAGTGGCAAACATGGGTTCTAAGCCAAAGGCCTTCATGGTTAGAACTGGGGTAGTCCAATAGACTAATGGATGGGTGTCTGTTGTGCTCATAAATATCAGGTTAACATGTAAAAGTTCTGGGGTTTCATCATATGTGATGTGTGTGATTTTCTTTTTAGTTGTATATTATTTTTCAGCAGCTCTGAGGTATATAATTAGAAAGGTGTTTCTTCCTTCCTCTCCCTTCTGTTTTCCCTGGTTAACTACAGACTGGTGTCTCCTCAGCTCTCTTCTGTTCAGATTCTTTCCCTTGGGGGTGGTTTTCTCCATATATGGAGAATACAGTAAAGCATATGTTTGATTTTATAGCCTCCTTTTTGTAGTCACTATATCATACACATATTTGCATGACAGACATACTTCCATGACATGGAACTCAGTGGTGTCATATCTCTTACATACCTTTATGTATTTAACCATCTCCTGAATTATAATCATTTACGTTATCTGTGGTGGTTCACTATTATAAACAGTGCAGCAGAGAACATCCTTTCATGTGTACTTGTGGTGAGTACAGGTGTTTCTGTAACAACATTCCTAGGAGTCACTGTATTAAAGAAGTTATACATCCTAGGTTTTAATAGATCCATACCAGATTATAGTCCAGAAGAAGTCATTAGTGATGTCAGTAATGTATGAATTCATCAGAAAGACATCATTCCAATAGTATCTCCTTCTATCCAAGAAAGAATTGTCTCCTCACATGTAGGTCTTCTCTTAGGTTCTTCAGTAAAATTTCATAATTATTTTATTTAGGGCTTTTACATTTCATAAAAGTTAATTCCTAAGTATTTTATAGTTTCTTATTAATGGTATTTTTCAGAATACTTTAAAATTATTGATATATTTATTTCCAATCACTTGACTGTTACAGTTGTGAAATGCAGCACACACAGGAAACCCAATACACGTTTCGCATAACATATTCCAGAGGCAGACACCCCAGCAGCCACCACCCTGAACCTTGCAAAACATCCCAGAAGCTCATTATGGTTCAATCCAGACACACACTCCCATAACCATTATCCTTTTAATTACCAAACACCAATATTGATTCGTCTTCCATTTTAATAAGCTGGTACGTTTTTATGTCTGTTTTATTCCTGGAGTCCCCCGCCATCTCACTGAAGGAAACTTTCAGGCTTGTTTGGCTGGCGGCGTCCTGCAGTCCGCGTGCCCCTGGTTCTGTGTCCTGCAGGTGCGTGGCTGCATCTGAAGGCTTGATCCCTTTGTAGAGACTGTCATAGTGGTTTTAGGAATTGAATGTCTGATTGTCTCCTCATTGATCCATTAATTCATTAGGTTGTAAAAGATGAAATTTTAATCACTTTATCATTACTTGTTGGAAAATTTTTTTATAGTGATATACTTCACATAGCAGGGTAAGTGCTTACTTCTTTAAAACTTCTCAAGATAAAAATGCCTCATGAAAAAAAAAAAATGCCTCATGAGTTCATATTAATACATGCAGTCCAGACTATAGGGCTTTTAGTCAGCTTCGTAATTTTTTTAAATTCATCAATCAGCCACAGGTATGCATGTGTCCCCCCATCAGCTCTGTATTAAGTATTTTATGCTGAGAACCCTTAATTGTTAAAGACACATGGGATGATGAGTTAGAATAACAGAGTACTACCACCAGTATGATTATCAAAAGCACTGAAACGTTTCTTCACTAAAATCTCTGAATTGTTGAAGGCCGAGACCCGCACTCATATCTAACGTAAGGAGAGGTGGATGCTCTGCTCTCTGCAGTGGGGTAAGCTGCCTGGTCAGGCGGCGGCCAGGCCAAGCCAAGGTTTGGGGGGATGGTGGAGCACGTGGTTTGGCAGTTTGTATCCTCTGCAGGAGCAGTTGCTGTGTCTTGCATCAATCATTTCATGGTCAACATTAAGATTTTTAAATGTGTCTTCACATTTCTAGAGACAACTGAGTTACTTTTTTAATCTAAGTTTTAAAATTTTTTAGTTATTTCAACTAGTTGCTTTTTTTGGACATGGCTGCCAAGTCAGTGCTGTGATTTGAATGTCTGTGTCCAAGTGGAAATGCCCTGTGAACTCACTGTCATCTCCAGACTGTGGCAGGAATATACACCTAAAGGATAGCTTGGCTGATTACCACACACACGCCTGCAAGAATGTCTATGTAGACATCCAGGGATGTCTCCAAATAGACCACAGTGAATTCACTTAAAAAGTCCTTAGCAGTCAGGGTGCTGTCCTGTTTTGGCACTTATATCTGAGTTACAGTTTGGACTATGAAGGTCCCACTAGATGAGTTCTCCAGTGAGCTTCCAGCTAAGTGTGTGACTCTTGCCATATTGTCTCTCAGTAGCCACAGGCTATGTCCCCTTAATTATGGGTGATTGTCACTGACTCCTAGCTTCAGTACTGTTAACGCTGTCCTCTCCCTCTGAAACTTGCATTTAACAATCTCTCCATGGGATTCCATACTGCAGTTTCCCATATAGTGCTACATATAACTGTTTTATATATGCATCTTTGTATGAATTACATACTCACACACACCTGGTGGCTCAAGACGGTAAGGAATCAGCCAGCAATGTGGGAGACCTGGGTCTGATCCTAGGGTTGGGAAGATACCCTGGAGAAAGGGATGGCTACCCACTCCAATATTCTTACCTGAAGAATTTCATGGACAGGAGCCTGGCAGGCTACAGTACATGGGGTTGCAGAGTCGGACATGACTGAGCAACTAATACCACTACAGCAGAACACTACTATACATATGATACCGAGTAAAAGGCTAGGACTTCCTGATATAAAGGTATAATGAAGTGATCAAGTCAGTGACGTTACGCCATTCTAAGTTGTTTGTGGCAGCAGTGCATTTCAGGGTTAGCAGGGCCGTTAACCAGAATTAGCTGTTGGTCTGCAAGCAGTGATCGACAGCGATGTCTCTTCAGGTTTGCCTTAGTGCTGGGCAGGCTTCACTGCTGCTAAGAGAACTGGGAATTATCTCACTGGAAGTGCATATTGCTTGGGGTGGGAAGGAGCCTTAGCACTGACTTAGGAACCACTTGTGTAAACAGAATATCCCTCATCTGAAAGCCTCTTCAGGGCCTCCCTTAGGCCCAACAGTCTCTGAGGCCCAACCCAGAGAAATTTCAGTGGTTGATTCCAAATCATTACTTGGGTTTACCTGCCACATGGGCAGTGCTATGAGACAGGCAGATGGAAAGAGACCATCACTCTTGCCTTTCAGTCTGCGGTCTGTAAGTAGTGCCACTGGCTGACTAAGGTCAGTTTTGAGGTAGAGCTTTTCAAAGTCAGCTCTTCTGATCACAAATCTGCTGGTTTTTCTGATCCTGCTAACTGTTGCTTTCAGAATTAGTGGGTATCCCATTCATCATGCTAATTAGTGACTGATTAGTGATTAGTGAATGGTTTTCCAGGCAAGAGTACTGGAGTGGGATGCCATTTCCTTCTTCAGGGGATCATCCCAACCCAGGGATCAAATCCAGGTCTCCCACATTGCAGGCAGACACTTTACCATCTGAGCCACCAGGGAAGTCCAATTATTGAATGGGGTTCAGAATTTTCTCACATTCTTGGCTTCCATGTAAACTGGAGCCTGTGACAATCACCTGATTATTATACATGTCTCCTGGGGTTTTACCCAAACATTTTTCTCTTAAATTTTGCAAATTTTAGGGGGAAAATGCTGTGAATGATAGTTTGACTTAATTAGGCACCTAATCCACTTTTATTGTAAAAAGAAATATAAGTACAAAGATCTTAGTTCTTTTTAAATATGGCAAAAGTAAAAAATTAATTTTAAATATAAGTAAAAAGTTCTTGGTTCCACTGTTGAGTTCACAACTAGTATCTTTCCAATTTTTTGATACACATACACATGTATATTTTTACAAAAACTTCACACTATGAATACCATCTATCATGGTATTATAGATGGTATGGTATTATAGATGATACTGTGTATTTTATTTGATCTGCATATAGGTCTGTATCATTAAGATCGTAGCCTCCTGCTAGACAGATACACCAGAATTTATTGAATTCCCTGCCACTGGACACTTTTGTCTAGCATTCAGACAATGTAAACAACACCTAAAACATCTTTGTGTATCCCTGGTATGACTGTTTCCTTAGGATAAAGTTCTAGAAATGGAACTGCAAGGTAGAAGAGATGATGAATATTTTAAGGCTTTACACCATTGTCTTTAGGCTGCATCTGTTATATCCTGCTTCCAAACAAACTCCTCTGCATAGCCAGTGCCCAGTTCGCAGCTTTCAGCACAGGTGAAGACAGCCAGGACGCCCCAGTCGACGCTCCTGCCCAGTCTGTCCGCCTTCAGGTAGTTGAGCAGCTGAGGCATGACCTGAGAAAAGGGTGGCACAGTCAGAGCCCTCCTTGAAGGCGAGGCACACACACAGTTTTCAACAGACCAGATCTTCCCTGCCAGAGCGACTGTAGGGACCCTGATCACTCAGCTCTCAGTCTCCACATTCTACAGCAAGGTTGCAGACATGACACTGGTAACTTACTAACAATCTAAAAATACTTTGCAGCTCTGTGTTTCTTTAAAGCCCCTCTTTATATCTGGTGTCCTTTTATCTGAGAAAGAAGTTCCCAAGTATAAGACTGGCTGATCTGTTGAACTTGGCTGTTAACCTAATTATTTTTTAATAATAATAATGCCACAAAAATAGGGCAGAGGCTTCTATTTGGGCAACTTTTATTTTGTGCTATTACAACCTGAATAGCAGATGCCGTTACTATGACTCTGAAGAAACACTACCGTAGTAGAATACAAAAAGACAATCTACTGACGTATTTGTTTAGACTAGAAAGGAGTCTGAGGAGTCCGTGGTCTCCTGGGAATGAGTCCGAGGCAGCACTGCCACCAATACTATCAGACTACCGTACACCAAGGACCAGTCTGTTTGGGGTCAGTCCTCAAATTACCCTTTCAACCGTAAGAAACAACTATGACTTTATAATGTTAGTGAATTGACAGTTCAAGAGTTGTTTCCACCCAACCTAAATGGATTCTGATGCTAATCATCTTTTTTTGGCAAGAAAAATTTTATCTTAATGATTACATTCATTTGTTCTAACAAATCCACAAACCAAGACCAAACAGAGCAAGGGTTCTAAAACACTCCTCTCATAAAGATTGAAGCTACATCATTTTAAATTATAAAGGTAACAACAGAGGCACTAAAAATAAAGATATAACCACACTGGGAAGGAAGGGATGGTCCAGGTGGCGTAAGTGACATTTAAATCCTCACTACTACAGAAGTCAGTCAACAGATAATGTCTAAAAACTAGTAAACTGATAAATCTCAGAAAAAGCAAACAAATTAGAGGCAGAAATAACTTCCAGATTAACCAGTAAAGGATAATTCCCTCCTTGGAACATACTGTAAGGTGGTGCAGAAACTACTAATTGTTCCTAAAGGGCATCTTCTATACATAGTACCCCTAGGAACTCTTGCACATAAATTACTTTGGCAAAATCTTTTAATATTTAATAGGGTAAATATATACTAAAATATTCCTTTTTAAGATCTTACCTGGAATTCAAATAATCTCTTAGCACCACAGGGGCAATCTGGAATATCCTTTTCTTGAGGGATATTTTTACCGGAGATCCAGAGCGGGGCAATCCCTCTGCCGTATCTGAGAATCTAAAATCAATTATGATCCACTTAAATCACCAGCATCTCATGTGATCTGAGGATCATCTCCAGAAACTTTGTACATACTCTGACAATTGATGAAATGCTCATCTGAAAACCAGTTTCCTGTCTGCCCCTCCCCCACTCCCTGGCGGATACACACTGGGCACCATTAATGCCTCAGTATCGTCAAAGTGATGCTTTCAGCTCATCTGATTCAGGTTATCAAAAGTATTTTTCTTAGATGACTATGATTAGAATGAATTCTATGGCTATTTTGTGAAGAGACTAACAATAATTCTATTTCCCCATTACCAGGTTGTGAATATAAAATGCAACCCAATGCCTCTGCTTACCTTCACACAGATAAGGAAACTTAGTTGCCAAAATACCAAGTGAGACACACTGTTTTAAATACAACAGAAGTAAATTTCACTATAATAAGATCTTATGTAACAACTGAGTGATGTTCCTAGATGCTTCTTGTTAAAAAAGAAATAGGCATTGCTAAAATCCATCTTCTCAGTATTGAGGACCTACATCTATTCTTCCTATAAGCCCCTTAGTATTTATTTGCTCTAGTGACTGACTTATGGGAATTCTGCAGAGTCTTTAGTGGTTTCTATTTATGGTGAGGGAAATTAAGGGAATAAAGTTAATGGAAGAAAACAGGCAAAGGGAAACATTTGCTGAACACTTACTGTAAGTCTATAATCTACCTTAATCCTCCAAACCACTCTTTTTTCCTCCCTACACTGTAGATACAACTACATCAGAAGGCCAAAATGTAACTCAAGGAGCCAGGAATCCTCACAACACCAAAACCCATTATTCTTTTGACAAAGCCAGTGATTTCTCTACTAATGTGTCAGGTTAATTTTTATAAATCAAAGGTCCCTGCTGGAAAAATGCGCAAAAATTTCCTTTCTGTCTTGCCATTAGTGTCTAAACTCCATGTGTTACAGGCAACAAAAGATGTTTCTCTCTGATTGCTGACGGTTTTAGAAAATGACTATATGATACACAATGTAGCTTTTAGTCTTCCCATAACTATTAAAAGGATCAGCACTGCAAACACCTTTCCCTATGGATCCCGTGTGAAGGAATCCTACAGACAAGAGACTAACTTTATTAGAAAGAGTTACTTCTACACAGGTGTGGTTTTTTTTTTTTTTTTTAAGGGAGGCTGGGTGTGGCGCACACCGTGGCTTTTGGGATCTTAGTCCTCCAACCAGGGATCGAACCTGGGCCCTCAATAGTGGGAGTGCAGAGTCCTAACAACCAAACCACCAGGGAATTTCCACCTCAAGATTCACACCTGGACACCACTTCAAAAGAACAGAAGAAGGAGCTATATGAGTTCCATTTTACCTGTTCTGGTTCAAGGGATATTTTAGTCTTAAACTTCTGGAAAATTTTATCTTCCTTAGATTCATGTTTTGCCATGGATTCCAAGTCTTCCTCATGTGCTTCACCTGAAAAATCATCAACATTACTATTATGTCAGCAGGAATAACCCACATGTCTTGACAATAAACACATGCCAAGGAAAGCCAGTTTTTAAGCAACCAACTTAGTGTTAAATCAGACACTGAAGGCCTGATGTTTTTGCAGGGTTTTCCTGTTTTGGTTTATTAACATCTGTGCTTTAAAACTACCTGACTTTCCAGGTACTCCATGAAGCATTATTATTCTGCTGGTTCTTTTAAAGAGCTTTTCCTTGAACCTTCAAATTAAGAATAGACTCCAAGTCCCAGGTTCAGGACTGCTGTACTCAGCACTGAAAAGGATATTCCCAAATCACGAGTCCTTCTAATTCCTACTGTCCTTCACTTGTCTGAACTCTTATTTACATTTTTTTTTCCTGCCCCATTTCTCCTTTCCCAGCTGGTACACTCATTCTGTCATCACAGGCTCACTGGACCTGTCAGCTCACACTTTCACTCTCACCTCTGGAATCCCAGCTACCTGAATCACCCTGTCCTGAACAGGCAAGACTTGTTGTAACTCAGAGGGTATTTCTGATATCCTGCATGTGAACTATAAGCCAGTAAGCTGACATTCTAATGTAAAATTTAATTTAGATTCTAAAAATCTACATTCTGTGGTGAAGAGATCAAGTTCTAAATTCAGCAAGATGTGAGCTCAAACTCCAGTTCTAAAACTTAACTGTCGTCAGTTATATGCCCAAACAAGTTATACCCAGAACCTCAAATTCCTTACTGCAAAATGAGGTACTGCTTTCAATGTATTGTTCTGGTGGGAAAATCTCAGTGAGATCATGCACAGAAGGCCCATGGTATGAGCTGTACAACAGAGAATGTGCTGGAGAAATGCTGGCTCCTATGGAGTCTCAGCACAGGCACTGCTCTAGCACGTGACCATCGTGAAGTAACTGACAGAATCATGGATCTGAAACTTGCCAGGTAAGAGGGCGCCTGCCACCCACCAAACACTGCAAGGGACTCTCATGTACACCATCTCAGTTTGGAGAAACAAATCTTGGAACCAGATAAACTTTCCAAGTTTCCAGCATCTTGTGCAGTCCCACCCAACTGACCAACTGGAATACACCCTGCGACACTTCATAGCAATCAAAATATAAGTTATATATACCAAGGAGGGAAGTACAGAAAGGCTATCTTCAAATGAGGCAGTATTTGAAAAGTACAGGTTGAAGCCTCCCAAGTGAGTTGTTCAGTGCTTCTCTTCTTGGCATATCGAGCCTTTTCTTTCAAGTATTATATTCACTCACTTGAATGAGTTTTGAAACAGATTCCTTACCCATGCCTCCTATAATTTCTGATTCATTATCTCGTTCCACAACTTCAGGCATAATCTCATCTTCTGTTTCTATTACAATTTCAAATTCTGGAAAAAGGAAGTTGTGATCTGGAACTGTATTGTCCAAATTATCTGAAACAAAAAAGGTAACTAGCATCATTAGTGATCATTTAGTTTTGAAAATCAAATAATTTCCTTTTTCTGAAATATATTCCGTGTTATAACAGTTTTCCTTAGAAACTAACATATGTAGCTCTGGCATTTTAGATTATGATTCATACATTAAATGACTATATTAAAGCATGGTTGGGATGTGAGTGGGTGAGAACTCACAGCTCCTTCTTCATAAAGGTGTTTATGGCACTAGTTAACCAAAATTCTGAAAATTATTACACCTTTTCTAATGTTAACCTTTATCCTCAAAATGAAAGATCTGGCCTATAGACACAAGGAAAATGAGCTGATATTTCAAAATAAAAAAAGAATTGACTGACCTGTCTGCGCACAAGCCTGCTTATGTCCTAATCGCCAATCCAGACTCTGATGCTCCTTACTGCAGTAATGTGCCTTGTGACATCTGGAGCATCTTTTGGGGCCTGAACAGCCACAAACTCTGCAGAGATGTGCACCAGACTTGAGCTGGAGATACACAGACTCTCCTGTCTCTGACGGAGGATCCTCAGAAGGTGGCTCATAGGAGTAGAAGTCATTTCTTCTGGGCAGCTGATTTCTGAAAACTAAGGGGACAGAAGGAGAACTGTTAATGAATGATTTAAATAAAACAATACAGCAATTCAAGTATTTGGAGCCTTCACACTAGACTGAAAAAGACATTCATTTTTTAAAAAGAAAAACTGAAGACAGTTTTCCCTTGCAAAGAGCTTATTTTTTGGAAACGGAGAAAAGAATGAGAAACTTCTACAGTTCACACAACTAAGTACGCTCTCACAGTTTATTCAAATTAACAAGAATAATAGGTAAAGTCAGACTACAGAAACATGAAAAACCTGTTGAGATCCACCTTTCCGAAAAGTGACGATTTCTATTACCTGAAAGTAACCTACCACACCTATTACCTACTAATTAACCAGAAGGCTGGCGGCTATGAGTGAGCGAACACGCGGGACGCCCCCACACCCGCAAGTGTTCGCGGGGTTCCAGGGGGGAGAGGCCGGCGGGGTACGGGGGAGACCGGGCGGTTTCCGTGGGGGAGAAGCCGGCGGGGTTCCGGGTGGGAGAGGCCGGTGGGGTACGGGAGAGGCCGGGTGGCTTCTGGGGTCCGACCCCGAGCAGAGGCCGCGGCCACTCACCGCGCAGGCCGCAGCAGCACGGTGGCGTCCGGCAGCAGAAGAGGAAGAGACAGCGGTGGAAGGCGTCGGCGCGGCCTGGCAGCGGCGCGTACACCTGCAGCAGGAAGGCCATCGGGCGGCCACACAGCGGGCAGGCCAGCTCCGGAGGCCCGGGCAGCCCAGCCGCACTCAGCCACGCCGGCCGGCCGCCCACCTTGCTGGGGAACTGCTCGCTGCGCAGCCGCCACGATGGCGCCGCCTCCACGAAGCCCAGCTCCGCCGGCCCAGCGCTTGGAGACGCCATGGGGTGGGGTGCAGGCTAGTCATACCGCAGAACCACCGCCGCCGCCGGAAGTCGGCGCCGGAAATGCGGACGGCGGGCCAGACGTGATTGGATGACAGCGCAGAGCGGGCGGGGCCACGGGGGGACCGGATTGGGCCGGCTCACTTATTCCCGGTTTCCGGTCCTTGCCTGGGGCTAAACTGTAAATGTCAGGTGTCTTGTTAAGTTTAGTTCAGTGGCTCAGTCGGTCCGACTCCTTGCGACCCCATGGACTGCAGCACGTCAGGATTGCCTGTCCATCACCAACTCCTGGAGATTGCTCAAACTCATGTCTATCGAGTTCGTGATGCCATCCAATCATCTCATCCTCTGTCGTCCCCTTCTCCTCCTGCCTTCAATCTTTCCCAGCCTTAGGGTCTTTTCCAATGAGTCAGTTCTTCGCATCAGGTGACCAGAGTATTGGAGCTTCAGCTTCAGCATCAGTTCTTCCAATGAATATTCAGGACTGATTTCCTTTCGGATTGACTGGTTTGATATCCTTGTTGTCCAAGGGACTCTCAAAAGTCTTCTCCAATACTACAGTTCCAAAGCATCAATTCTTTGGCGCCCAGGTTTCTTTATAGTCCACTCTCACATCCATACATGATTACTGGAAAACCATAGCTTTGACTAGACAGACCTTTCTTGGCAAAGTAATGTGTCTGCTTTTTAATATGCTGTCTAGGTTGGTCGTAACTTTTCTTCCAAGGCACAAGTCTTTTAATTTCATGGCTGCAGTCACCATCTGCAGTGATTTTAGAGTCCCCTGCCCCCCCAAAATGAAGTCTGTCACTGTTTTCACTGTTTCCCCATCTATTTGTCATGAAGTGATGGGACTGAATGCCATGACCTTAGTTTTCTGAATGTTGAGTTTTAACCAATTTTTTCACTCTCCTCTTTCAGTCTCACCAAGAAGCTCTGTAGTTCTTAGGGTGACAATATACAGCCTTGACATACTCCTTTCCCAATATTACCTAGGAACCTGGAATGTTAGCTCCATGAAAGACTAGAGATCTCTTCAGGAAAATTAGAGATACCAAGGAAACATTTCATGCATAGATGGGCACAATGAAGAACAGAAGTGGTATGGATCTAACAGAAGCAGGAGATATTAAGATGAGGTGGCAAGAATACACAGAAGAACTGTACAAAAAGGTCTTAATGACTGGGATAATCATGGTGGTGTAATCACTTGCATACAGGCAGACATGCTGGAGTCTGAAGTCAAGTGGGCCTTAGGAAGCGTTGTTTTGAACAAAGCTAGTGGAGTTGATGGAATTCCAGCTGAGCTATTCCAAATCTTAAAAGATGATGCTGTTAAGTGCTGCACTCAATATGCCAGCAAATTTGGAAAACTCAGCAGTGGCCACAGGACTGCAAAAGGTCTGTTTTTATTCCAACCCCAAAGATGAGAAATGCCAAAGAACCTTCAAACTATGGGACTGAACTCCTTAATACCTCTATACATATAACTGTAAATATCTCTACACATCTAGATACAAAGATCTCTATACATATAATTAGAAAGGTCTCTATACATATGATTGTAATGATCTATATAACCATAAATATCTATATACATGTTGATATATTAAACGCTTCAAGACCTTAAGCCATCATTCATTTGTTGGAGACCTGCTTACACAGTGAATAATGCAAGCAACAATTTATTAAATAGAACATGTCATATTGCTAGAACATAATAAGATCATACTATAACAGAGAGAGATAGAAAGCATAAACAATTTTAAACCAAAGAGAACACATCAAAGCAATGATTAGTATAATTACTTGAAATCTGGTCACAATAAACCATCAAGTCCATAGGGGAGCCAGCTGAAGAAGTTAAATTCTGGAAGGTTTCAGTTATAGAGGAAAAGGTAAATGTTTTATCTTTGTTTACAAAGGTATACTTTATCAGTGCATTGATACATATTTGTCGATACCTTGTATCAACCTACACATACTCCTTTGAACTCATGTAGCCTGTTTCATCTTCAGTGTTCCAAACATAGCCCTCTGATCTGTTCCAACTTTTTTTTTTACTGCCAAAATTTAATCTAGTGTCATTAAACACAATATTCAAATATTCAACTTTTCAAGCACATGAAAGTTATCATCTGAAAGTGGGCTATTTTTATAGTTTCCTTAGTGTAACTTTACAAAATTCTTTTTCTCAACAATGTCTGACACTGATCTTGATACTTGTTAGGCAGCCTGATGTAAGATGACATCTCAACAGGCAGAGATTTAGGAGATGATCTGAACACCCATCTTCAGAATTCATCCTAGGATGACTGATCATCATCTTCGTCCCTTACTTCTTGGTATTTCCTTGAAGACTCCCCTTCTGGATTACAGCTATGCATTTTAATATTTGGTCTTTCAGCTAGCTTCTGTGCTGCGAGCTAGGCTTGCATCTCCTCGTGACTCTGCTCCTGCTGTCTCTGCAGTACCAGCGAGCCCTCTATGGAGAGCAGCTGTGTCGGCAGGTGGTGCCGCGGCAGAAGCGGGGCCGCTGTGATGTCATCGCGATGCTTCCTGTCCCAGCGCCGCCTCTCCTCTGAGGAGATGGGAGACCCTCTCCTCTGACAATCACTCGGTGAATCATGCGGCTGTGAAGGTAATACATTGGTTTTAAATTTATGTGGCGGGGGCATGGGATTTTTGGCTCGCATTTCCAGCAGTTCCATGCAATGAGGCTTCTTCTGCGGCCCAGTCCAGAGGCTGGCCAAGTTCTCAGGACTCTGGTTTCCTTCTGAGTCGTGTTCAGTGGGGTCCGCAATTGCGATCCTTTGTAATCTATGGATGAACAGGTTGTTTGAGCTGCCAGGATGATCCTCCACTTGACCTAAGGCACAATGCTGAGGGAGACCCTCACTAGCTTCAGATGAGGAAGGCGCTGGGGCTCTGCTGCTAGAAGTTGGGTGCTCACTCACTGTGTGTTCAGCCTCAGTTGCCTCAGCATCACCTCCGCGAGTCGGATGTGCCAGTCCCTGTTGTGAGGTTGTCTGAGGTGATGTAATGTTAGCTACAGAGGAACAGCCAGGAACTGGTGATGAAATATCAAGTATCTGGTCAGAATTCTGGGCCTTATCTCTGTCTCCGTCAACAACTGCAATCGCTTTTTGCCTCCCCTTACAGTCTAAGCTAACTGTCTAGGATAGTCTAGGATAAAAGAGTTCACTTCTTTCTCTAACTTCTTCACGTTCTGCAGTGGCACCTTTCAGTTTGGCGACAGCATCTGAGAGCTTTTTACCTTTATTGGGCAATTTGCAACTTAATTTTACGTTGCGCAAAAGTCTCTCCGGGCGCTTCAACATTTCCCGTAGCTCCGCCAAACTCTGCTGCCCCAAGTCCTCGGGAGTTTGGGGCTGGAAGCCGCGGGGCAGCGAGGACATTCTGCGGGGGCTGAGGCTGGCGAGGCCGTGGGCACTCGCTTCCTCGGCAGCCCCCGCAGCTGGCGCCAGTTACGCGGCCGGCGGGGACTCCGGCGAACGAGCAGGCGTCGCCATTTTCCCCAGTCTGTTGCAACTTTGTCCAGTCCTTTTTCTCAATTTTATAACAGAAGGATAGAAACTTCATGTATTTATATAGACCAGTAGAAGATACTAGGATGTCTTAGTCTAATGGGTTTCTTTGCTGGGGGTGGGGGGCTTAGAAATCATTTAAAATCTCAACCATTCTCCCTGCTTCATCATTTTCAGATTCCTTTGAGATGCAAAAAGCTTTGGAAGCAGTGTTTAATATAATCTGAATTTGCCAGGTATTTCTCATTCTGAGTAAATGCAGATCTGAGAGGTAGAATTTGATGGGTACAAAAAGAAAAAAATCTTGAATGTAGGGACATTAGTAGAAATTGGCAAAGGCATGCGACCAGAGCGCAATCACAGTGGGTCAACTCCACCTCCATCACAAATGTGAACAAGCTTATCTTGATAATAACATTCATAATGGAGGAGTTAAAGTGTTATCATGAAAAATTTTTTACAAAAAGGACAGAGGAAAAGTTTTCATGGTAGAATACACCTTTCAAAGAGCCTGTAAATTTCAGATAAATGTTTCATTATTTGAAATTTAGTTTATTACTTAGTTACAGACTGTTCAAAGAAATGTAGATCAACCTTCTGATTCACAAATCTGATTCACACTCAACAGAACTTAGCTCCAATCATTGTAGCTAATCTAAAAAATACTGAGCTACAGATCTGACAAGAAACATTCACTGTCACACATGGAATACCACAATTGTCTTCACATATTGCCTACTTAGTTCATAGTCCATATAAACTCATACTGTGGTAATTGATTCAAATTTGAAACCAAGCTTTATTGGAAGGAAGTGGTTTGCCTACCAGCAGTGTAGAAGGTTTGCCTTTTCTCCAGGCCATCTCCAACATTTGTTGTCACCAATGCTCGACAGGAATATAGTAGGCATTTCAATTTATTTGTCAAAATAATGGTTATTTTATTTGGAATATAGTTCATTTCCCATGTTGTCTTTGTTGCAGGTATACAGCAACCAGATTAAGGTATACATTTGTTCCTCAAAAAGTGAAAGTGTTAGTCATTTAGTCGTGTCTGACCCTTTGTGACCCCATGGACTGCAACACCCCAGGCTTCCCTGTCCTTCACTATCCCCTGGAGTTTGCTCAAACTTATGTCCATCGAGTCCGTGATGCCATCCAACCATCTCATCCTCTGTCATCCCCTTCTCCTCCTGCCCTCAGTCTTTCCCAGCATCAAGGTCTTTTCCAATGAGTCAGCTCTTCACATCTGGTGGCCAAAGTATTGGAGCTTCAGCATCAGTCATTCCAATGAATACTCAGGGTTGATTTCCTTTAGGGTTGACTGGTTTGATCTCCTTGCTGTTCAAGGCGGTTTTTTATTGCTAGTGCCACCTGGGAACCACAGTAGGCCCTGCCCGTGTCCCCACCAGGGATGAATCCCAGCAGGACATCAGAGCTCAGAGACTTCAGGGCACCCCTGCCCTCAGGACTGGTCTTTTTTCCAACCAGCTGCTTGTCAGAGGCCCAGGCACCCCA